GCACCATTGAAGGTGGAACGGGAAATTTAGTTGAGAAAACTCAACTTCTTGTTTAGAAAATTCCAACAAGAAGCTGGCAAACTCCCAGAATGGACCAGACACGGTCACGGCGTCCACACACGTCACTGCCCGGACGACAATTCAAAAGAGAAATGAAGGGGGGATTATTTAGTAAACAAAACAGGAAATGAATCAAGAGACAAAACATTCTTTTCTGCTCAAACACCAACTTCTATTGCACAACTGATCAAAGGCACCTACAGGACAAAAAAGTAATCAAATACAAAATACATCAATGACAATCTGATCACCTACAATAAAGCAGTTTTTCAGAAAAACAATTTACAGTTTTGCCCCCTCACACCAGATGTTGTCAATCAAACAAGACATATTTGGTGTCTGTACTTTGCTTCTTCGGTTTTTGTGCTGGAGCTACGAGGCTAATGTAGCTAACAAGTAATGGAAGCTTCCAGCCCACCAATTAGCATCATCAACTATCGCCCATATCGTGACAATTAGCTAGTCTTGCAAGCCATTTAAATCATCCTCAAAGTTGATTGTTCTTGGCTACACTGAGCAACAGAATCATACATCATACATCTGTGTTTGGAAAATTCGAACAAGAAGCTGGCGAATGGCTGACTTCACCTTGATATCACAGTAGAATTAGGGGTGGTGATAAATAATTGTCACTCCCCTCTTTGAAGGCATAAGATGCCCTAAATGTAACTAAAGCCCAGCAGTGAGGAGCTGAACTTTACCCTCCTCTGCTGTCACTGCAGACTGGCAGGGTCACCTACAGTGCAGCGCTAGTAGCTGTTAATGAAGTGATGTTCTTTTTTATTTGAGGGTCCCGTTTCATAGGGAAAGATTTCAACCACTACCCCCTGTAACTCAGTTCCAAGGGGTTAGGGTGACACTCAAAAACAAGGGGTAGAGGGTAAAACTAAGAAATGGGATTGGGCCTTTGTGCAAAACTGAATTTCCACTGCATTTTTTATAAAAAGATTTGGTTGTTGTATGTAAACTGTCAAAAAGTGTCAAAAATGTACCGTTCATCCAGACCACACTCTCCATATATGGAAGCTAAGGTGCAAAACCAGCCCGTTTTGAATTCATTCTTTCTGTGCCGTCATGAAAAGCCAACACACTTCCATACATCTGCCTATTCGGCCTAGAGTAGTTTAGCCCCACACATACACAGGGAACTTATAAGACATGTTACAGCCCAATGAGGCACAATAAAAAGCAGCCAATCAGAACAGAACTCATTTAAATAAAGATATTTTAAGGCACAGGAACAAAACAAGCCTGTTTAATTCTAAGGGATAGAGAGACGTTTGAAAGTGATAATGTAAAAATAAATGATGCCTATTTTGTTACATAAAACTGTCATAACTGGACTAAGAAAAATTAAGTGCAAGAAAAACTGTAGGACACGAACCCTTGAAAGTTTGCTGAAAGACTTACTGAAAGATGACAAATTCTAAGCTAAAACTTCTTTTTAGACATGAAAACCTATAAATTTTCCCAGTTTGATTAATGCAATAATGATTGCTGTATCCTATTTTTCTGCTTCAAATTGCCTGTTTAAATTCTGGGATCAAGACAGTTTGGAAAACGGTCATGTAAAATGAATGATGACTTTTTTTGGTACATTACCCCACACAAACATTTTAAGTGGAACTCAGGTAAAAAATTAAATACAAGAAAAACCAACTGATCATGCAAAAGCAACAACCAAGACTAGAAAAGACTGCTTATTTCTAAGTTTGTAATTGATCAGTCAAGCAATAATCATTAAACAAACACTAAAAAGCTCTGTCTAAGCTCAGATGTTGTTAAGAAGGCTGCTTATTAAAGTTGTGAAACTGCAGACGACTCACACACATCCCGTTCCACCACCTCTTTCCCTCTACAGCCTTGGGACGAGGCTGATCGTTGCCATGGCAGCAGATGTGAGAGCGCACTGATCATTCGGTTTTTATTCATGTTTATTTGGCGAACCTCAGACGACTCCAAATATTTGCGCGACGCAGAAGAGAATATTGTTCTCAGATTTTCACCTCCGTGACTCACAGAACACGGCTACTCATGCAGCTCCCAAACATCCCTACCAGCTACAGAGGGGAATGAACTGCCCCCACCCCGGTAATTCACCCTCAACATCCCAACTTTGCCCAAATCATGTCATTTTTGAACAACTACGGCTAACCAGAGAGGGTCTTAGGTTTCAATCTGTATGTTCCACCAAGTCCCAGTGCTCAGACTCATGGGAAATGTAGTCCATTTACAGTCAGGATCCTTCATAGGCCAGCTGTGTGAAATGTAATGCCTGGTTTACACTTGATGTGTCGTGAAAATCGTAAAAGTCCTCGCGACTAAACTGCGTGACACCCTCAGGCACGACCCTGCCCGAAAGCCTGTGGGCCTGTAAGTCCTGTAAATAAACCATTTTCTCTCTGTGTGACAGTTTCAATGTAGATGCCAAGCAGGAAGACTTTTGAAGCGAGTCTGGTGGCAGAAATCAGGAAACACATACACCTTCATTACTCCTCCACTAAGGACCATTAAGACAACCAAAGAGGTGTTAATTCTTAAATGCATCAACAGAAATGGACCAAAATCACTTGCATTATCATTACATTAATGTACAATAGAGTTAGTGGGTTTTTTCCCCTCCTACTTGTGGTCTGTCGTCTTGTGTTACATAAGCTTGAACATGAACTCAAACTAACATTTCTAAACACAACAAACAGCCCGTCTGGGACAAAAAGTCGCCGAGCTGTTTTTAGGAACTCGTGTTAAAGTTTAAATCAGAAATATGGATCTCATAGTCCTGCTTGCTCTGAGGGTACCCACAGTCTGCCCACAGCTATCTAAGCATCAGCAGATAAGCCGGAGGAAACGCACTCGCTACCACCCAGAATGGACCAGACACGGTCACGGCGTCCACACACGTCACTGCCCGGATGACAATTCAAAAGAGAAATGAAGGGGGGATTATTTAGTAAACAAAACAGGAAATGAATCAAGAGACAAAACATTCTTTTCTGCTCAAACACCAACTTCTATTGCACAACTGATCAAAGGCACCTACAGGACAAAAAAGTAATTAAATACAAAATACATCAATGACAAACTGATCACCTACAATAAAGCAGCTTTTCAGAAAAATAATTTACAGTTTTGCCCCCTCACACCAGATGTTGTCAATCAAACAAGACATATTTGGTGTCTGAACTTTGCTTCTTCGGTTTTCGTGCTGGAGCTACGAGGCTAATGTAGCTAACAAGTAATGGAAGCTTCCAGCCCACCAATTAGCATCATCAACTATCGCCCATATCGTGACAATTAGCTAGTCTTGCAAGCCATTTAAATCATCCTCAAAGTTGATTGTTCTTGGCTACGCTGAGCGACAGAATCATACATTCTTAGAATCATTTTCTTTGACAGCAAAGGGCAATATGACTGACATGCAAATCGACCAATCACACTGATGTGTATTGGCTTGTGATGTTATAACAAAAAAGACCAGAGGGAGTTTCAAAGCAAATTTCTGAATAGCTTTAAACCACGATTTATTTCAAAAATTAATTCCAACCCAACACCCCCCTGCTCTGAAAGGCTCAGAGTTGATATGACGTGCAGTGCATTCAAGTGCTCGCTAAACAAAAGTGTGTTCCTATTCAGGCTGATAAAAAGCAGAAAATGGACAAAATAATATACTGAGGTTAAGACTGCAGCAAAGTAAACCACTAAATGTGTTAACCACAAAACTTGTGTGGTGTTAAAAAAGGAATTTCACTGATTTTTCAAATTTTGCATAATTAAATGGTAAAGATAAAAAAAAAAGTCATTTGGAGTGGTTTGATGTGAAATGCTCCATCCCTGATAAACTTCTAAAGAGTTTAATATCACTAAAAGCTCCCTCTTATTATGAAAGTTATCACATGAAACGGTTACGAATACTTTGCCTGATGCCCGGGACATTGTTCTATGGTAGTTATGACAAGAGACGTTGGCCTAAAATGTATTTTACAAAGCCACTCATAGCAAATAGGTACATCCAGAATGTTAAGGCATTTTTTTTTTTCCCTCAGATTTACCACTATTTCACTACCATCATCATTACATATACAAACTCATTACATATAAAAAAGACGGGAAGGGAAGATTTCAACCACTACCCCTTGTAACTCAGTTTCAAGGGGCATAGTGACACTCAAAAACAAGGGGTAGGGGTAAAAATATGAAATGGGATTGGGCCTTTGTGCAAAACCAGATTTCCACTGCATTTTTGGAATAAAAAGAATTGGTTGTTGTGCGTAAACACTGTCAAAAAGTGTCAAAATGTCAAAACTCCCACTTATTATGAAAGAGATCACATGAAACGGTTATGAATACTTTGCCTGATGCCCGGGACATTGTTTTATGACAGTTATGACAAATAGCAAAGAAGTACATCCAGAATGTTGGCAATTTTTTCCCCCTCAGATTTACCACTATTTCACTACCATCATCATTACATATACAAACTCATTACATATAAAAAGACATGTAGGTTCACTGATCATTTTGGATAGTAAATAAATTTGTTATTTGTGCTGGAGACATCGCAACTCATGCTTCCTATCATCACCCCTGTAAAGAAATCCAAATCGTTACTCTAGCATGCACTTTCACATCAAGACTAAATAACTTTGTTTACATGTCAATGAATGAATTATGCAGAAATTTTGGAAAATTGGTGGAATTCCCCTGAAATGGTTTATATTCTCTTTCTATTACTAATCATGCTTATTCTAACTTCTGAAAAGACAAACTAAACATGTTAATGTATAATGATAATGCTTATTGGCTATAAGCTATACTAAGTTGTTTTAACCTGTTAATTTATTAGTCAAGATCATTGTTAATCACTGTGTTTAGTGCAAGGCTGCAATGTTTGATGCTTTACCTGGTTATGATTTGTTCCCTTTTTACTGTCCAGTACTCACCATGTTGGATGTCCTTCATGTCAAGATGTAGGCTGGACATAAGGATCCCCACGGCTTGTGAACGCTTGTTATTAAGCAGCTTCACCACCTACAACACACAGCGAACAAAATCAGTTTGCATTTAATTTCATTTTGAAGTTCCCAGCACATGGGCATTCCACACAAAGTTTTCAAAAGGGGGGAAAAATACAAATCTGGCAGTTATAAAGCATCAGTATTAGACACATAGGAATAATAGTAGTGTAACAATACATAATGACAAAACATCACAATACGAGTACTGCTAATAGAATGGGATGCTCTGGAGCAGCAGCACACGACCGATGCCCGATGCCGAGTATTGGCTAGAGGAGTAGAAAGCCCCCCAGCATTGTGTTGTGGAACAGTAGAACTGTGCTCTCTGGAGTGATGGAGCTCCATCCAGTACCTTCGGAATGAGTATAAGTGATCAGAACTAACCATCCAACATCAGTATCTGACCTCACTAATGCTACTGTGGCTGGATGCACTGGATGCACCTCACAGTAATGTTCTTGTGTAAAGTCTTGCCAGAAGAGTAGAGGCTGTTACTGCAACAAAAGGGGGACAAACTCCCTATTAACACCCTTGATTTCAGAAGAAACGCTTTGAGCCACAGTAAGGTGGTTTTCCAGGTTCAATCTACAGAGAAAAGTGTACACTGTGGTTAAGAAGGATCACGACTCTACCTACTGCATATATTGCAGACTACTCAGTTTCTAGAGAGCTCTGTTTTAACAGACTACATGGCTGAACTTGTACAAAGGCAAAAAGACATTAGAAATAGCCAGCAAGTCACGCAGCAAAGCCTAAAATTCCTATTCCGGGAATTATAACTGCTGCACCATTTAAGGTTATAAGGGATTCGAACAAGGAGCTCAAAATCATCTAGTGGACTGAAAAACTGATTATTATGCCAGTACCAAAAAGATACATTAATATTTGCAATTTATGCAATAAAATATTGATACTATGGGTAGAATATATGTAATTGTGTTTTTCTGAGATATTAAAAACAAAAACAACAAATCTTTTCAATGAATCTTTTCAATGAATCTTATCAACGAAATCGATACTTGGCATCCGTGTTTTGATGCAATATCGCCACGCAAAATATCACAATATGCTGTATTGTTTTTTTCCCACCCACCCCTAGTAGGTAACCACCAACAGTGTGTTCTATGGTCATTAGGGCCTTCGCTGTGTATGTTTTAGAATAAATCAATTAAATCAACAGTCAATTAAATCAATCAGTTACTAAACGTAAATTATAAACTGGATGCCTCAATAATCATTTCTTACATTTTTCTTGTATCTTATTTTTCTCCTCGAGGTTCGTGTACCAAAGACAATCCAAATTTATTGAGTTCTGTTCTGATTGGCTGCCCTGCATTGCACCTCACTCAAAAAGCAGTGTGAGCTGAAACACTCCTTGTACCTTCAGTATGAATGGACGAGGCTTAACTGCTGTAGGCTGAATGGGAGGGTTCATGAAAATGTGCTTTTTCTGTGACATCACAAAACAACCACGGACCTGTATCGACCAGCGAATTAACATTTTGAAACGTACACAAAGTTTACGTTTATACAACATTCACCAAAAAAAAGCATTCATCATGAAATGGGCCCTTTAAAGAGCACACTACAGGAAAAAAATCCACAGCCCTTCGTAAGCATAGGGTTTAATTTACGACGTATCAGTAGCCATCAAATACACAGCATGATGAATGTCAGTCAATACACAGAGTTCCCTGCACTGAACTCAGAGGTCTACAAGCTGCGCTCGAATTTCATTCGCTCTGGCCTGACCTCGCTCAGTCCCACAGCAACCAATTCCAGCCAATTAGAGGAACATGGAAAATTATGACTGACACAGAGAGGGGAAGAAACCTCTGTGCAGGATTAGAAATTAATAGCATCCATTTAGCCTTCAGCCAGAGGCAGAGAAACACAGAGTTTCCTTGATTAAATAATTGCAGTGGATGGTTTTCAGTCGAGAGAGAGAGAGAGAGAGAGAGAGAGAGAGGGAAGCAAGCTAGAGCAAGCGATAGAGTCAGATAGCTAGCAAGAGAGAGCAAGAGTACGGGCTGGAGGTCTGGGTCAGGTCACCACTTTACTGCTCAAATCATACGAACAAAGCTCAATTCTTTAAACTGCACAAGTAGATTTGTATCAGTGTACTGGACAATAGTGGGGCTAGATCTGCAGCACTGGACACAGTTTTGGCTGCCCCTCTCGTCTGGAGACTTCACTCAGTCTAAGCAAAGCACATAAGGTTTCCTCTCCACGTATGCAAAAGTTTGAACACCCCCCGTTAAATTACATGTTTTGTTGATTTTCTGAGTGAAAATAAGCGAACACACCCAAACACACATACACATACAGAGATCAGACCTAAATGTGGCATGTTCTGCTTAATTCTGAGCACAATTTCTGTTTATTTGCTGAGTTTAACTTACTGGGAAAAAGAGAATATAAACCATAATCATAATTGTGCATTAAAATGTGTTTAAAAAAAAAAAAAAAATTAGAATTATTATTATTACTACTACTACTATTATTAGTAGTGTTTGTTTTTACGGGAGAAATAAAAAATAACCCTCCTTTGCAGTAAAATAAAGCTCTGCTGATCGTTCAAACACAGTTTTAACAATAAATGGTCTTAAACGCTGGAGTTAATGTAGAACTGCTGATTCACCCTTTAACCCTGAAGACTTGCGCACAGACTGCTGGTCACCATAGCAAACAGATAACAGTCTCACCTAGATAGTAGCTAACGAAGCGGCAAAGACCAAGATTTAAGATGAACACCAATAATTTGGAGATTAATGGATTAATCAACACTAAAGTCGCGAGGCTGAAGTCAGCTTCTTGTTTGAAGTTTCCCGTTCCACCTTAAACGGTGCAGCAGTTACATTCTGGTGCCTCAGGCACCATTTAAGGTGGAAACGGAAAATTCTAACAAGAAGCTGGTGAATGAGAAGCTGACTTCAGCCTCGTAAAACTCAAACGTTGAAAAATTTTACAAGAAACTGTTCCACTTTTGGAAAAGCTTCCTGCTGGAGATGTGAGAAAAGCAGCTATAGCTGAGCTGAAGCTTAAAGCAGAGCAAAGTGAGTCTGTGTTTTTGTTAATATTTTTAGCCTATACTAACATATTAGCACATACCGAGCCATTTACAGCCAAGATGGTAAAAATGGACATAAAATGTTGTGGCTCCCAACGTGGTTTGATTTTTGCTGAAAGGACAAAATGGCTCTTCTTAACATTTGGGTTGCGACCCCTGACCTAGACACAGTGTGTTAATCTGAAGACAACTAATTTCATGTTACTTTGAACACAAAATGTGTGGAAATACTTAATACTTAAATACTTAATTTTGTGCACATTTAACACAGTATTAAAATGGGCAACAAGTGTGTTATTTAGCATCACTTTTTAGAGTGTATGATTGTGTTCTCTGTAGAGGATGAATGCTTGTTTTCATTTCAACAAAACAATTTGACCAGGGGCGCAAATTTCCACCTCGCCTTAAACCATGCTATTATTCCTTGCTCAAATTTGTTATTTCAATTCATTTTGGACAGAAATGAAACAGCCTGCATTCTGATCTATTTACACAGTGTAGTTTATGCAGAGTTACAGCTTGTGTTGAGCTGATCTAGGTCAGGATTGTTTCAATATAAACTGATACTAAAAAGAAAAACATGAACAATTTGCGAAAAAAAGGTTGCCAAAGTGTATCACAAAAAATAATGTTTTATATCTGAGTATCACAGCTTTAAAGGGACTACAGTCTATGTTTTTCATATGTTCCCCCCCATAAGGTCCACTTATGATACTGGTGTGAGTTGATAGTACAAAAACTATATTCATTTTTTACAACCATTTCCCAGCCCCTCGCTATCCTTTAGCAAAATCAACAAAATGTTTTTGATACTGTATCTTTAAAAGTTATAGTCCACTAAGTTTGCAAAATTTCAGCATAATTTAATTGCTGAGATGTAAAGAGAATCATTCAGGTTGGTTTCATGTGAAAAGGTTCATTGTGGAGAAACTTAGATTGGATTTCTTTACAATGGCAGTGATAGAAACCAGGGTTACTTTTAACTATCTAAACAATGAGTGAACCCACCTATGTCTGTGTGTGATGTTGATGGAAAAATAGTAAAAAATCTGGATCCATTTTGTCTCACAACACCTTGCAGGTACTGGTAACACTTTACTCGAAGGGTGTCTACACAACACCTTCATAACATCTTACATAAACACTTCATAACATTTTATTGAATGTTTAAATTAAATTTGACACCGTATACATGTTTTACATTATATTAATACGGACTACGTCATTTTATTGAGATACATTTTTAAAAATAAAAATCCATTTTTTTAATAAAAAAAGCATATTATTTTCAGTAAAACGCTTCATTTCTGGACAGCCAAAATTTCCCAATACTTTTGATTACTTTTTAATGATCTGTTTTTTCTTAATCATTTGTTGCTATGCATGTCACTTTACTACATGGCAGTAAATTACTCTTAAATATGATTAGGAACGATCATTCGACTGAATCTTAGTATGGCGGTGTGCCTAAGTGTCAAAGCACTTAATGACCAACGAGATAAAGCGAGGTCATTATTATTTTTTGCTGCTCAGAAAACTCTCTAATAGTTTTTTCAAAATAAAAAAAAAAAAATGAACTTTTATTTTGAAAAATGCATCTCAGTAAAATGACAGTAGTCCAATATCATGTAAAACATGTATACTTTATAAAGGTTGATTTAAATATGTTCATGAAAATGTTATGAAGTGTTTATGTAAGATGATATGAATGTGTTACTTAGACACCCTTCAAGTAAAGTGTTACCCATGTACCTCTCTGCCACAAATGGGGTTAGAAAATATATTTTAGGCCAAAACCTTCTCAAAACATTTGTAAAACAATGTTTTCAGGCATTAGGCAGATTATCACCGACTATTTCATGCACTAATTTTCTGTGAGGGAGATTTTAAGGCATTCAACTTTTTTAAACTCTTTTTTCAAGGCATTAAACTCTGACATCTGG